TCGATCCCAGGACCCTGAGATCATGACCTGAGCCGAAGGCAGCAGCTTAACCCACTGAGCCACCCAGGTGCCCCCCTTGTTGATCTTTTGCTTAGATGATCTGTCCATTTCAGTGAGGGGGAGTTAAAGGCCCCTACTATTATTATATTATTGTCAATGTATTTCTTTGATTTTGTTATTGGTTTATATAATTGTCTGCTCCCATGTTAGGGGCATAGATATTTAAAATTGTTAGATCTTCTTGTTGGACAGACCTTTAAGTATGATATAGTATCCTTCCTAATCTCTTATTATAGTCTTTGGCTTAAAGTCTAATTTACCTGGGGGCGCCTGGGAGGCTTAGTGGGTTGGGCCTCTGCCTTCGGCTCGGGTCATGATCTCAGAGTCCTGGGATTGAGCCCCGCATTGGGCTCTCTGCTTGGTGGATAGCCCGCTTCCCCCTCTCTCTTTGCCTGCCTCTCTGCCTACCTGTGATCTCTGTCAAATAAATAAAATCTTTAAAGAAAATCTAATTTATCTGATATAAGGATTGCTACCCCAGTTTTCTTTTGATGTCCATTAGCATGGTAAATTGTTTTCCACCCCCTCACTTTAAATCTGGAGGTGATTTTGGGTCTGAAATGAGTTTCTTGCAGACAGCATATCGATTTTTTTAATCCATTTTGATACCCTGTGTCTTTTGATTGGGGCATTTAGCCCATTTACACACAGGGTAGCTATTGAATGATATGAATTTAGTGCCATTGTATTGCCTGTAAGGTGACTGTTACTGTATATTGTCTCTGTTCCTTTCTGATCTGTTATTTACAGGCTCTCTCTTTGCTTAGAGGACCCTTTTCAACATTTCCTGTAGGGCTGGTTTGGTGTTTGCCAATTCTTTTAGTTTTTGTTTGTCCTGGAAGTTTATCTCTCCTTCAATTTTTTTTTTTAAGATTTTATTTATTTATTTGACAGAGAGGTCGCAAGTAGGCAGAGAGGCAGACAGAAGAGAGGAGGGAGCAGGCTCCCTGCTGAGCAGAGAGCCCGACGTGGGGCTCGATCCCAGGACCCTGAGATCATGACCTGAGCTGAAGGCAGAGGCTTTAACCCACTGAGCCACCCAGGCGCCCCTCTCCTTCAATTTTCAATGACAGCCTAGCTGGATATAGTATTCTTGGCTGCATATTTTTCTCATTTAGTGCTCTGAATATATCATGCCAGAACTTTCTGGCCTGCCAGATCTCTGTGGATAGGTCTGCTGCCAATGTAATATTTCTATCATTGTATGTTATAGACCTCTTCTCCTGAATTGCTTTCAGGATTTTCTCTTTGTCACTGAGACTTGTACGTTTTACTGTTAGATCACAGGGTGTGGACCTATTTTTATTGATTTTTGTGCGGGGTTCTCTGTGCTTCCTGGATTTTGATGCTTGTTTCCTTTGCCAAATTAGGGAAATTTTCTGCTATAATTTGCTCCAATATGCCTTCTGCTCCCTTTCTTCTTCTGGAATCCCAATTATTCTAATACTGTTTTGTCTTATGATGTCATTTCTCTCTCGAATTCTCCCCTCTTGGTCCAGTAGGTGATCTCTCTCTTTTTGTGCTTCTTTATTCTCCATCATTTAGTCTTCTGTATCACTAATTCTCTCTTCTGCTTCACTTATCCTAGCAGTAAGAGCCTCCATTTTTTATTGCATCTCATTAATAGCTTTTTTTTAATTTCAGCTTGGTTAGATTTTAGTTCTTTTATTTCTGCAGAAAGGGACTCTCTAGTATATTCCATGCTTTTTTCAAGCCCAGCTAGCACCTTGATGATACTCATCATTCTGAACTCCAGTTATGACATACTACTAAAGTCCGTATTGATTAGGTCCCTAGTCATTGGTACTGTCTCTTTTTTTTTTTTTTAAGATTTTATTTATTTATTTGACAGAGATCACAAGTAGACAGAGAGGCAGGCAGAGAGAGAGAGGGAAGCAGGCTCCCTGATGAGCAGAGAGCCCGATGCGGGACTCGATTCCAGGACCCTGAGATCATGACCTGAGCCGAAGGCAGCGGCTTAACCCACTGAGCCACCCAGGCGCCCCTGTCTCTTGTTTTTTTGTGGTCTTTCTGCCTTGTCATTTTATCCAGATAAGAATAGATGGATGACAGTGTGAAGTTCAAGACTAACGGTGCCTCAAACGGTGGGGGTCATGGTATAAGTAATGCAGATAGAAGGAGATGATAGATATATCCTGGCTAGTTTGCCAGAGATCCAGGGAAAGAGCTGGCAAGAACCCGCTTTGGGTCAGAATGAATCTCAAACCAACTTTGGGAACCTGGGGGAGTAACCCTTCCAGGGATCCTTGATTTGATTGGATCAGTATCTGAAAGAGTTTATGCCTCCCGAAGTGTTGAAAACAATAACAATAGGGCAAGCAGCTGGCGACTGGTGGAGCCCAGCTGCCCCACATGGTCAGAGAAAGACCCAGAGAAGCTTCCCAAAGCCACCAGCCCAGGATGACAGGGCATATCTAAGGCCCTGTGCTGCCTTCCCTGGCTCTGCACTTGCTGGAGGAAGGAAAGGGATAAACCGAACAAATCATCTAGCCAGTCACTAAACAGAAATAGACCCCAGGGCAGGGACCAGCACCCAGAGTTGCCACAGTTGCTATCTGAAATGTCCAGGTGCCCACAAAAAAACAAGACCTGTATACCAGCAGGGGTGGGAGGAGACAGAAACTTCCAGGGAGTGACCAGAGAGGCTGGGATGAACAGACACAGCCTTCAGAGTAGCTGCCACAGGGGCACCCACTTGGGTCAGTCGGTTGGTTGAGCATCCAACTTGATCTCCAGGTGGTGAGTTCAAGCCCTGCACTGGGCTCCACATTGGGCCTCAGAGAGATGTTTCATTTGTTTGTTTATTTAATTTTTTAAAAAGGTTTTATTTATTTGACAGAGAAAGACAGTGAGAGAAGGAACACAGGCATGGGGAGTGGGAGAGGGAGAAGCAGGCTTTCCACTGAGCAGGGAGCCTGATGCAGGACTCAATCCCAGGACCCTGGGATCGTGACCTGAGCCAAGGGCGGATGCTTAACCCACTGAGCCTCCCGGGCGCCCAGGAAATGTTTTAAACATGTACAAAGCATTTAATATCAGAGGCTGGCAGATAACAGATGCTCAGTGAGTGTTTGTTCTCAGTATGGTGCTGTAAGAGGAAAGCCCATTTCACAGAAAGGCAAATTGAAGCCCAGACGGGTAGAAACTTGCTTAGCATCACACAGAAAATTTGGTCTCATGATCTTCATAGTTTTTGAGACCCAGGCCAAAGGTTTAACATGAGAAGGGCCCAGTGTTTGCAAAGTACAGTAGGTCATAACTTTCTACCCTCCCCCCCCTTTTAAAGATTTATTTGAGAGCGAGTGCGCACATGAGTGGGTGGATGGGAGGAGCAGAGGGAGAGGGAGAATTCTTAAGGGTACTCCCCACCGAGGAGCCTGATCTAGGGCTCCGTCCCAGGACTCCAAGGTCATGACCCAAGCTGAAATCAAGAGTTGGCCATTCAACTGACAGAGCTGCCCAGGTGCTCTTAACTCTTCTCCCTTTCAAACCCTCCCATGGGGCCCCTGGCATCCATCTCAGTTAAGTGTCACCCCTGGGGGCGCCTGGGTGGCTCAGTGGGTTAAAGCCTCTGCCTTCAGCTCAGGTCACGATCCCAGGGTCCTGGGATCGAGCCCTGCATCGGGCTCTCTGCTCAGCAGGGAGCCTGCTTCTCCCTCTCTCTCTGCCTGCTTCTCTGCCTACTTGTGATCTCTGTCTGCCAAATAAATAAATAAAATCTTAAAAAAAAAAAAGTGTCACCCCTGGGCTCAGGTCATGATCTCAGGGTCCTGGAATCAAGCCCCATATTGTGCTCCCCACTCAGTGGGAAGTCTGCCTCACCCTCTGCCTCTGTCTTCCCCCACCCCCCGCTCATGCTCGCTCTCTCAGAAATAAAATCTTAAAACAAAAAACAAACCCCCAAACCCAACCCTTTCATGATTCAAAATAAGGTGTGTACCTGACCTAATGGTCTCGGACCAATGTCAGAGTTCTGGTGCTGACAACGTGCTAGGGTTACAGCTGAGGCTGTCACTGGGGAAAGCTGGGTGGAAAGGATATAGGAGGTGCTCAGTAACTATTAGTTTTACTCAGTTTCCTATGAGTGTTACATATGAGTGTCTCATTATTTCAAAATAAAAAGACAAATATTTAGGAAGCACCTCCTGCAAACAAGGCAGGCCCTGTTCTAGGAGCCTGGGATTCAGCAGTGAATGAGCCACAAGTGATTAAGGGCCAGGACGCCCAAGCCTGACCGTTTCCATGTGGATCCCGGCAGTGTCACGTACTGTGCTCGTAGGGGTAGCACTTTGCACTATATACTTGTAAACTCGGTTATTTTGGCTACTATGGTGCTTTTTCTCCAGATCACCCAGTTACCCCATTCAGAGAGCCTGCTCTGCCCCAGGCTGGTTCTAGCACCTTTGGGGATCCTGCAGATTTCTGGGCCTCCTTTGTCATCTCTGACCCCTCCAGCCCTGGCCACCCTGGGCTGTCCTTGTTTGGTATATGTTTCCCCATTGGACAGGGAAACTGATTCCTGGACCAGGGCTTTCCTGATGAGGGCTGACCTCGGAATCACTCAGCATAGGAATGTGCGCACCGCAGGCGCTCAAGAAATAGGTACCGAATGGATGAATGTTTAGCGACAGTGAGGAGAACACTGGAGCAATGTCTGTGTTCCTTACCTTGGAGGTGGCATTTAGGGATGGGAATTTTTAGGTGAGATCCAGAGGTCCCTCCCACCTGGTCCCTGGCCCAGAGCAATGGAACCTTCTTACCCGGTGGAACATGATGTCACAGTGCCCCCTTGTGGTCATCTCCCATGTTAGAATCCTGGTGTGGGTGAGGCTTTCCCTGCCCAAGGAAGGAGGACTGGGCAGGAGCCCAATCCCCCCTCCCCCACCCCGTTACCCGGGGGGGCCCCCCCTGACCCCACCATGAACAACCAGGCAAGGGCCCCTCCCCCCTCCCCAGGCCGGGTCTTGATCTCAGCCAGGGCTTCGACTCCAGTCAGGACCTCAATCCCGGTCCGGACCCCAACTCCTGCCTGGACCTCAACTTCGGCCCAGACACCGAATCCTGTCCAGATCCTGACCCCCGCCCGGACCCCGACTCCGGTCCCCACCCGGGCCTGGACCCCGACTCCCGTCCAAACCCCGACCCGGGTCTGGACCCCAACTACCATCCAAACCCCGACCCGGGCCCAGACCCCGACTCCCGTCCGAAACCCGATCCGGGCCCGGACCCCGATTCCCGTCCGAAACCCGATCCGGGCCCGGACCCCGACTCCCATCCGAACCCCGACCCGGGGCTGGACCCCGACTCCCGTCTGGACCCCGACTCCCGCCCGGACCCCATCCCGGACCCCGACTCCCGTTCAGGCCCCAGCCTCAGCCTGGATCCCCACTACTGCCCAGACCCCAGCTTCGGCCTGGACCCCGACTCCTGCCCAGACCCGGGCCTCAGCCTGGACCCCAACTCCTGTCCAGACCCCAGCCTCGGCCTGGACCCCGACTCCAGCCCGGACCCCAGCCCGGACCCCGACTCCCGTCCAGGCCCCAGCCTCAGCCTGGATCCCCACTACTGCCCAGACTCCAGCTTCGGCCTGGCCCCCGACTCCTGCACAGACCCAGGCCTCGGCCTGGCCCCCGGCTTCCGCCCAGACCACCGCCTCAGCCTGGACCCCCACTCCTGCCCAGGCCCCGTCCCAAACTCCAACTATCGTCCCAACCCTGGCCCAGACCCCAACTCCCATCCACACCCCAGCTTCCGCCTGGAACCCAACCCCTGCCCAGACCCAGGTTTCGGCCCAGACCCCGGCCTGGCCCCCACCTCCGGTCCAGATGCCGACCCCGGCCCAAACCCCGACTCCCGTCCAGACTCCAATCCCGGTCTGGAACCCCACTCCCGTCCGGACCCCAACTCGGGCACAGATGCCGACCGGGGTCCAGACCCCTATTCCGGCGCAGACACCTACTACAATCTGGACCCCGCCTCCGGCCCCTGCCCCAACCCCAGTTTCATCCCGGGTCGGGGTCGAGATCACGGCTGCTGTCCCTGTGTCGCAATCCTTCCCGGACTCAGTCCTACCTTTGGATCAGCCCACGGAACCCGCTTCGGAACCCGCTTTGTCGCGCGACAAGGGTCTTTCGCGGCCGCCTAGTGTGAAGCACTTTCCATCCGTCACCAGTGAATTCGGGTTCAACCGAGAGTCCATTCTTGTCCACACTCCATCCGCCACTGATTTATTGAGGCTCACCGTTGGCTCCACCTCGAGCACCGACTCCTCCGCCACAAAGTTGACAGATTCCACTCCCGAGTCTGTGCCGGTGCCCATCCTGGGGCCCGGCCCCTTAGCCCCCACCAGCGAGAACTTCCCGTTGGACAAGAAGATCCTGATTCGAGTGATCTACTGGTGAGGGTCGTCCTAGTGCACGCTGGCCTACCTCCCTGCGGGTGAAGGCTGGATGGGGTGGGGGGGCGGGGCGGTGGGGCTTTGGGGATTTGCTAGGAGGGGGAAGGGAGGGAGTCTCAAGTCCCAGTCTTGACTCCACCTGCCATGCTCACGGGGGCTGGAGATCTGGGGCTTCACATCCCTGCTCTGAGCTTCCCCCTCACTCATTTATCCATTTTTGGAGTGTGCTGCCCCCCACGGACTGGGCCTATGCCAGGGATGGAGTGCTGACCCCATCCCCTTGCTTTTCTCCCCAGGCCCAGCTGGGCCTTGCAGATGCAAAGCCCACCGGGGAGCACTGGGGGGTGTGGGAATTTCAGACTGTCAGGGATGGCCTTTCCCCAGATGGCCTCTAAGTGAAGAGCTGGGTCGTGGGGAAGGGATCTAGGTAAAAGGTGGGGGAGGAGGAACCCAGCTACAAAGGCCGAAAGAAGTTGGTTTCTGTTGTCTTTGGTGGTCTCAGAGCTGAGTCTCTGTGTCTGTGGCCCTAGTAACAGCAGTGACCTTCCCAGGCCGGGGCCTGGTCTTTCCCTTTCATCCCCATCCCCCTCTCCTGCTTTAGAATGTTCTCTCCCCCTTCTCTCTCCCCAGTTTCACTCTTCCCCCCATTTCCTCTCCCTCCCCCACTCCATTTCTCTGTGCCCAGTCTCTCCCCACAACTCAGTGTCTTTCTCCTTTTTCTTATGTTTCCTCATCTCCCCCATCTCTCTCTGCCCTTCTCCCCCTGGTTTTAAAAAGACTTTATTTGACAGAGAACACAAGCAGGGGGAGAAGCAGGCAGAGGGAGAAGCAGGTTCCCTGCTGAGCAAGGAGCTTGATGTGGGGCTCGATCCCAAGCACCCCTGCCCTTCTCCTTTCCAGCTCTTTCTCTGACTCCATGGATTCATTAATTCACTAATTCGTTTATTAAGCACTTACCTCGTGCCAGGCCCTGTCCTTGGCACTAGGGACACAGCAGTGAATAAGACTGAGATCGCTGGGAGTGCCTAGGTGGCTCAGTTCTTTAAGCATGTCCTTCCGTTCAGGTCACAATCCAGGGTCCTGGGATGGAGCCCACATCGGGCTTCCTGCTGGGCTGGGAGTCTGTTTCTCTCTCCCTCTGCTGCTCCCCAGGCTCATCCTCTTTCTCTCGCTTGCTCTCTAATTCTTACCAAAAAATCTTTGTCCTTATGGCACTCACATCCTTGTGATCCTTGTGTAGAGAGGGTGGGAATGAACAATAAATACGAAGCACAGTAATTATATAGCATCTTAGAAGGTGATCAGTGTTAATGGCAGAAGGCAAGGAGGCGGTAATAATTTTAGCTGGGGTGATCAGGATGGTCTTCCTGAGAAGGTGATGTATGAGCAAAGATCTGAAGGAGGGGAGAGAAGGAGCTGTGCAGATACCAGGGCTCTGCAGAGAGAACAGGTGGTGCAAAGGCCCTGAGGCAGGCATGCCTGGAGTATCGGAGGAGGTCCCTGTGGCTGGAGCAGAGCAGGCCAGGGGGAGAGTGGAGGAGGAGATGGGGCAGAGCCGGTGGGGGCTTATGGACCATGCAGAGGACTGTTTTTTTGCCCTGGGTGAGCTGCCACTATGGGAGGGTTCCAAGCAGCGGAGGGACGGGATCAGACTGTTCCCAGGCTCCCTCTGGGCTTGAGGAGATACTGATGCAGTGTCTTCCCTCCATCTCTCTCTGCCCTCCCTCCAGCGGCCTCTGAAGCTATAGCCTTCGGGTAAGTAGTTTTGACTCTGTAGGTGGGTGGCAGGGGCCGGGAGGGGGTGGTTTGGACATGAAGTCTAGAAGGAGGTCCTGTTTCTCCTCCCCCCTCCTCTCTGCAGTTCATTCTACTGAGAAAGAGTCTGGAGCAGCAATTTCCAAATCGTCTCCTCTTTGTGAGTGGCCTGAGGGGGGCAGTCAGGGCTGGGAGATTCCAGGGGCTTGGAGGGGAGCTCTCACCTTCCCCCAACCCCCCACCTTCCCTCTCCAGCAGGAGGAAAGAGCTGCCCAGGCTACGGGGGAGTTTGAAGTGTTTGTGGATGGAAAACTGGTCCATTCAAAGAAGGTGATTCTGGCAAGGGGCCCAGACAGGGCGGGCGGGCCGCAGTGCTGGGATCCCCCGGGGGTGGGAGACCTACATGTCCGTGCTCTTTCTCCTCTGTGCCCAGAAAGGTGATGGCTTTGTGGATGAGGCTGGGCTGCAGAAAATTTTGAGCATTATCGAGGAGGAGATCAGCAAAAGGTAGCAGGTGACCGGCTGGAGGTGAGATCAGGGAGGTGAGGCGGGGCTGAGGATGGGGGGGGTGGTGGGTAGGTAGTGGGCAGGGCACTGTCTGGGAGTCAAAGGTGATTTAGTCACTGTCCTAGCTCAGCCCAGCCTTCCTGTTTAGATCAGGACAAGTCAGCTCTACCCTTCTCTGAACCTCATTTTCATCCTTTGTAAAATGGGTTTGCTGAGATGCTCCCAGAAGACGCCTCACTTAACATAATAAATTTACAAGGCTCAGAGAAGGGCTCAGTGGGATATCGGCTAATTTTCTTCCAAAAGAACTTAAGGTTCCTTTTTTCCTTTCTTAGCTCCTAGTTGTAAAGCTGTACTATCCAATAGCAGGCCGATGCTTTGCAATTTACAATTAAGTTAATTAAAATGAAATACAATATTTGGAACACCTGAGTGTCTCAGTCAGTTAAGCGTCTGCCTTTGGCTTAGATCATGATCCCAGGGTCAGGAGATCAAGTCCCAGGGCAGGCGTCAGGCTCCCTGCTGAGCAGGGAGGCTGCTTCGCCCTCTCCTACTCCCCCTGCTCCTGCTGTCTCGAGCGTGCGCTGACAAAGAAAAAAATAATCTTAAAAAACTGCAGTTATTAGTCACACTGGCCACATTTCAAGTGCTCTATAGCCACATGTGGCTACTGGATTGGACAGCACAGAGGATATAGAATCCATCACTGCAGAAAGTTCCACTGGTATTGGAATTGGTATAAGGTATTAAACCATATGCACAATAATTTATTTGCCGCCAATACTGGATTTTATTTTTTGCCGATAATGGATTTTTATTTTTTATTCACTTAAAATATTTATGTACGTAATCTCTATATATCAGTGTGGGGCTCGAACTCAACCCCGAGATAAAAAGTTACATGCTCTTTTGAGTGAGCTAGCCGGGTGCCCCACATACTGGACTTTTTTTCCCCCCAGGTAGTGCATTTTTAAAACCACTTACTATACATACACATTTGCAAGCTACTACAGATTTAATACTTTTAATCTGTTTATTTTTTACAAAAAGTTGTCACCTTTTTGGGGCATAAGTGATATGTAAGAGACAGTACATGTGGTTATGTGATGTGTAAGAGACAGTACATAATGGTTATGCATGCAGCTTCTGGGGTCACAGAGACTTAGATTCAAACCCTGGATCCGCCAGCCACACAAAGCTGAAGCGGGTGATGTTAGGCCTTGTGAATTAAAGGCCAGTCAAAACCCTTCTTCAGTGACAGCTGCTGTTATTGGAATAAGTAATGACTATTCTTATTGCAACAGAGAACCCGGTTCAGTTTGGCTTAAGAAAAAAAAATTGGCTCATGAGAATAAACGTCTAGAGGCTAATTAGCTTCAGGCATGGCTTGATCCAGGCACCAAAACATTGGCCTTGGGAATCTGACTCTTCTTTACTCCGCGTTCTGCTTTTTTCCTGGGTTAACTTTATTCTCAGGCTCCCCCTCATGGTGGCATGAATCCTGAAGAAAGTTCCCATTGACCTGGATTAGGTCACATTTTCCTTCCAGAATCAATCACTGAGACCCAAGGGAACATAGTGATCTCATGTGGCCATTCCCGGACAAGGGGATGGAGTTGGTCCCCCCAAACCACATGAGGAAGAGGGATAAGGAGGGAAAAAGTTGGGTGGACCAGAACAACAATCAACATTACAAATCTGGAGGACGGATAATAGTTAAGTCAGTGTTTTCTGACTTCAAATCCCAGCTCTGCTGTTTACTGGCTGTGTGAGGTAAGGCAAATGCCTGCACCTCTCTCTGCCTGTTTCCTCCTCTGTAACCCAGAAACTATGACAGCCTTTACCTCCTTGGATTTCATTTATTTTCAACAAATATTTGCTGAGTACCTACTTTGTGCTGGATATTGTTCTAGGTCCTGGGGACATGGGACAGTGAACAAAACAGTAAGAACCCTTGCCCTAAGGAGGTTGATATTCTAGTGTTGGGACAGCCAAGCAAGGCAAACAGAAGATTAAAAGAAGTAGTGAAAAGAGAACAAAGCAGGAAAGGAGTGGGGAGTGCTGGGAGTTTTTTGCAATTCTGAATTGAGCAGTGGGGGAAGACCTTATTTGGAAGATGGTATTTAAACTGAGGGGCCCCTGGGCGGGGCTCAGGCAGTTGAAGGTCTGCCTTTGGCTCAGGCCATGATACCGGGGTCCTGTGATGGAGCCCCAGGTGGGCTCCCTACTCAGCAGGGAGGCTGTTTCTCCCTCTCCCTCTTCCCCACGTTGTGCTCTCTCGCTTTCTCTCTCCCACCCCCCAAAAACCATTTTTTTTTTTAAATCTCTAAACACTTGAAAGAAGGGATTGAACCATGTGCATATGTGAATATCTGGGGGAAAGTATTCCAGGCAGAGGGAGGAGCAAGGGCAAAGGGTCTGTGGTAGAAATGTGTCTGGTGTGTTTGAGAAATGGTAAGGAGCCTCAAGCCTCAAGTGGGAAGCATTACTATGGTGCCTGACACCTAGTAAACTCTAATATAAATGCTATTTTTTAAAATACAGTTGTTATTTTAAAAATTAGAAATTTTTCTCTCTTTCTCTATTTCAGGAGCCTCAGCAGGATGCCGGGAAGGGCTGAAATGTTGTCAAGTCAGGTCCTTTCCTGATGGTGGCTGGGGCTGGGGGTGGGTTGGGGAGGGGAACAGGGAAATACATACAGTCTGCCTCCCTGTGTTCTGGTCTGACAGTGTCTAATGTTGGCCTACTCTCTCCTGAAGTCTGTGGCAGTCGCCTGCTCCTGGCTCCCGGCATCGGCAAGGGTCTGGACTGGGGGTGGGGGAAGGGAGGGCATCTTTGAAGAGAAGCCTTCGCCTGTTGCTCCCTAGGTTTGCTCCTGATCATCTAACCTCAGGTCCTAGAATCGCTGTGTTGGGAGGGGTCTCGGGTGACCTGGGGCGAGTGTGGATTCGTGGGACATCGATGGGCCCCCTACTCTGCACCTGGTGCCATGAAGTCACTGGGCGGGAGCCAAGAGGTCACTGCAAAGTGTGGGAGTCAGACCTTTGCTGTGACCTCCAATAAGGGACCCTGCCTCTGGGAGCCTCAATATTCTCCTCTGTAAAATGGGGATCCTAACACTACTTAATCATGGAATTCTCAAGGCCTGGCACAGAACAAGTAGGTTTCATTTGGAGTGGTGCTCTCTACAAGTAACAGCAAACCAGACCACCAGTGGCTCACACAAAAGGACCAATTAATAGTTTTTCCCCGTGAACTGGTAGGAGGGGGCTGGGCTCACACACATTTCACTGTTGCGCCTCTACCCATCATGTCTGTATTCCTGGTGGAGAAGGGTTGAATAAGGAAGGACATGCCAGCTGGGGCACCTTTTTTTTTTTTTTTTTAGGGAGGCAAACCTTTCCTGGAAGCCCCACCCAGTCTTGCCAGGATGGTGCTATCCCCCATGACCCGCAGTCCCTCCGCTGCCCCTCCCAGCTCACCTCCCTCCCCTCCAGCTTGCCTGTTGCCCCACTACCTTCTCCTGATCTCTTCAGTGATAATGCTCACAGTTTTCTGTAGCCTGGCCTCATCCCCAAAGCCATCACCTTTCTGGGCACAGAGGGGAAACATCAGGGACTTGTAGGTTCCCCCCCACATCCTAGTACCACCCTCTATGTCAGAATCCCCTTCTTCGGGGGTGCCTGGGTAGCTCAGTGGGTTAAGTGTATACCTTTGGCTCAGTTCATGATCCCAGAGTCTTGGGATCGAGTCCCGTGTCAGGTTTTCTGCTCAGTGGGGAGCCTGCTTCTCCCTCTCCCTCTGCTTGTACTCTCGGTCAGATAAATAAATGAAAAAACAAAACAAAAAAAAAACCCTTTTAAGAATCCCCTTCTTGGGGGGCACCTGGGTGGCTCAGTGGGTTAAACCTCTGCCTTTGGCTCAGGTCATGATCTCAGGGTCCTGGGATCGGTCCCCACATCAGGCTCTCTGCTCAGCGGGGAGCCTGCTTCCCCCTCTCTCTCTGTCTGCCTCTCTGCCTGCTTGTGATCTCTGTCAAATAAACAAATAAAATCTAAAAAAAAAAAAAAAAAAGAATCCCCTTCTTGGAATGGACCAGCTGTCCATTCACAAACACTTCAGACAGGGCAGGTATGCCCTCCTCCTGGGGAGGGGATGGTGCGGGTGGGGAGAGGATGAGAGCTCCTGGTTTGGCTCAGCCCCATGTTCGGCTCCAGCAGAAGAAGAGGGGACAGACACAGTGCAGACCCCTAACCGGGTCTGCCACAGCACAGAGGCTGCGATGCGGTGGTCATTGGAGAGATGGCAGACATGCTGCCCGCACTTCCAAAGTGAAGCTCTGGGCCTTCGATGAGTCTGGACTCTTTCTAGTCCTGACCGTGATTAGCCCGTGCAGCTGGGGGTGGGGCAGACCTGGAGGAGAGGACCCTAAAACTTACTAGCTAAGAGCACAGACCCCGGAGTCAAATCCCTACCTGAATTTGAATCCCGGTTTTGCCACTTCCTAGCTCTGGCACGAACTTCACTTCCCTGTGCCTCAGTCGCTCCATCGGTAAAATGGGGGATGTAGTAGCACTGACCACCTAGGGCTGTTGAAAAGAGTCCGCAAGTTAAGTGTGTGAAAATACCTGAAGAGTGCTTCCTGGCACAGGGACTCTGTGCACGTTAACTTTCTCAGGGCATACCTGCTTGCAAGCGCGTAAGTCCTGCCCCGAGAATCCAGCGCAGTCAGTCTGTCTGCAGAGCCCCGTGCTGCCCACCGCACTGTATGGCCCAGATACGAGCGTGAGAGGAAGGCAGCATCCAGGACTGGTGCCTCAGTAAATTCAGAACATTCTCCTGCCGCCCGCAACCCCACACCCAGACACGAGGTGGCAACCATGAGAGACCCCCTCCCAGCCCTTGTCACAAATTTATGCATTTCCCCACCTTCATTTATCCCCACCTGCCTCTTCCTGCACCAAGGATGAGAGAGCAGCTCTTCTGAGCTGGTAAAAGCCCCTGGTCTTGGGGTACAGTACAAAGAGGTTCCCTTCCCCCCTCCACCTTTGATTTATTTACCCAGCAGCTTTTGGTGACATCAGCACTCTGAGCTTGGTGTCTCCGGCCGGAAAGTGAAGACGAGGATTTGGCCATCCCGGCTGTGGCAGAGACCGCTAGATGTCCCTCAGTATCTGTCCTCCCGGACTTCCTGAGAGTCCCCAGCTGAAGACTACACTTCCCAGCCTCCTCTGCCACCAGGCATGGCCACATGACTAAGCTTGGGCAGTAGGATGTGAGAAAAGGGAGGTATGCAGTTTTTGGATTGTGCTCTTAAGGGAAGGGGTGCCAGCCATGCTGCTGTCTGGAATGTGGACTCTTGACGGTGCACCGTCCTGAAGAGCCAGGGAAGGCGTCCATGGGAGCGGAGGAAGGAGACAGCAGTAATGGGGAACAGTTACAGGAGGGAAGAATAAGCTTCCTTACTGTTTTATTTTGTTTTTTAAAGACCTTATTTATCTGGGGGCGTCTGGGTGGCTCAGTGGGTTAAGCCTCTGCCTTTGGCTCAGGTCATGATCTAGGGTCCTGGGATCGAGTTCCACATCAGGCTCTCTGCTCAGCGGGGAGCCTGCTTCCTCCTCTCTGACTGCCTCTCTGCCTACTGGTGATTTCATTTATCTGATAAAGAGACAGAGCATGAGTAGGGGGGAGGGGCAGAGGGAGAGGCAGAAGCAGGCTCCCCACTGAGCAGGGAGCCCCACCCGGGGTTGGATCTCAGGACCCTGGGATCACGACCTGAGCTAAGGGCAGATGCCTAACGACTGAGCCCCCCAGGTGCCCCCAATATTTACTTTTTATGGCAGGCAGAATCTTAAGATGACCCCCAATGACGTGCACTGGGGTCGTTTCATATAACCCCACCTTCCCTTGAGTATGGGTGGGACACGTGAATAGGACAGGCTATCGCTCCCAGGACTATGTCACGCTAAATGACTAAAAGGATTTTGCCCCGTGAATTAGTCAAACCCAAGACTACCCTGAATGGGCCTGACATCAGGTGCGCAGGTGCTCTCTACCCCCGTTCCAGCTCTCTGCGCACCAGCTGGGTGTCCTACAGGTCAGTCCAGTGCTGACACTATCTCCGGGAGTTGGCGTCAGATCCCACAAGGGAAGGACACAGTCCCATGAGGCTGCCCACGCTTTGGATGCCACCCCTAAGTCCCAGGTTGTCGCCGGCATGTTTGGCCAACTGGCTATCAGTTCAGGGGTTCCCACAGCTCCTTCCAAGTTGGATAATTCACCAGAATGAGTCCGGAGCGGCCAACTGGGAGAGAGACAGGGCACAGTATGCTGGAAGGGGCACGGCGCTCCCAGCGGCTCAGTGTTCACCCATCTGGGGAATCTCTCCAAACTCTGGTCTCTGGAGGTTTCCTTACGCAGACAGGACTGAGGACAGCAGGGGCCGTGGGTGATTCACTCAGCCTCCAGCCGCTGTCCCTTCCCCAGAGGCTGGGGTGGGGCTGAGCTTCTACCAGACCTTGGTCCTCATCCTGGAGCTATCTATGGGGCCACCAAGAGTCACCTCCTTAGAACAAAAGACGCCGATCACCCTTATCATTCAGGGAATCCCAGGTGAATTTCAGGAGCTCTGTGCCAGGAATGGGGCGGGGGGCGCGGCAAAGACCACACACCTAGTTACACCATAAAGGTTATTTCTGCTTTGAGGTGAAAGGACTCTCAGCTGGGTGCTTGCTCCCAGGGGTGCCCTGCGGCCCATCCATTTCTGGAGAAAGGGCCGTATTTTTCCCTTTCCTCGCAGAAAACAATAGGTATGGGTAGGTCTTGGTGACAAGAGGAAACGGACACCACTTAGTCATTTTCATCAGTGGGCTGAGAATGACCTACTTTCCTTCTCTGTGTCTTCCTCTCAGTCCCTGAAGAAAACAGAGCCTTACCCACGACCCTAGTTACATCCAGTTCGGAGCTGGCAGTCCCAGTGCCATTTTTCTTGGACACCCTTCCCACGCTCGGATATCTGCGGGGGAGCAGCTCTCCAAACCAGCTGAGTCTGGGATCTGCTAGGCGATCATATATGCAGATTTTCATACAAGAAAACTTAACTTGGTCACGTGACAACATGCATTTACATATTCTAAGGGACCCGTGTTGGTCCAGGAACTCTAGATTCTTGTGTCCCCTCCTCGGAAATTCCAAAAGCGTATGTATTTAACCCGTTAGAGTTCATCACCAATAAAGATTGTGGAAGGAACAAAGTGGGAGTATCTTCAAGGAGAAACAGAGCATTGAGTAATAAGCCCGGGGTCTCACAGAAAACTGTCAAAATCAGATTGTGAACCCCAGGAGTCTGACCCCCCAAGTGATGCTGTTAATATCCACCCTCCCCAAAGCCCTGGTCCCGCTCACCTGCTGAGAGGCTATTCCCCACTTTCAGGTCAGTGCCCTTCGGTGGGAAGAACACAGGATCTTAGACGGACCTGGAGCCTTCTAAGCCTCCGTGTTCTTTTCTGGGCAAATGAAGGGACAAGAGGTCTTCGGAGCTCTTTACAACTGTGGACGTCGGAGTTATCACGCTGCTTCCTGTTTGGGTAACAACCTGCCATTTCTGTCTCAGGCCAGATCCTGGAAGAACTCCTGAGAATAAGCAGCCTCCAGGGTAACCTGATAAGCAGAAACTCCAGGCCTTGACCTTGAGATACACATCGCACGAGAGAAATTGAAAAGGCGCCTCGCGGGTCAGGGCGTGTATTTAGTGCCTGCTGCCTCCGAGTCCTTCTGTCACCAGGAGTGCAAAGAAAGGCACCCCAAGAAAGCCAGTCACTCCGAGTCTGCGAGGAAATGTTCGTCTTCTAGGTGCCTACAAATCCATCTCTCTCAGGGTGGGGGAAAAGGAGGGAAAGTGGCGACCGGACCCTCACCCTCACCACCCCAAGCACGGGGCCCCAACAGTCACAAAGGAGATGCTACCAAATCTTAACAAGATGATTCCAGTGGGTCTTAAAGTGTTCCAGAATTTAGGAAAGGAAGGCTTCCCTATTACTTACATGATGCGAGAACACTAGTATCTAAAAATAACAAATAGGGCACAAGAAAAGGACACAGCAACTTCACTTACAGAATTCTAATGCCAGCCTCCTTTAAAAAAAAAAAAAAGAAAGAAAGAAAGAAAGAAAGAAAGAAAGCAAGCAAGCAAGCAAGAAAGCAAAGCAAAGCAAAGCAAAGCAAAGCAAAGCAGAGGGGCGCCCAGGAGGCTCAGTCAGTTAAGCATCTGCCTTCGGCTGGGATGGTGATCACAGGGTACTGGGATTGAGCCCTGCATCAGGCTCCCTGCTCAGTGGGGAGCCTGCTTCTCCCTCTCCCTCTCCCCCTGCTTGTGCTCTGTCAAATAAGTAAATAAAATCTTAAAACAAACAAACAAAAAAAAAAAAAAGAGAGGGAAATCCGAAGCACATTAAAAGGATTATACCTCAGGGCGCCTGGGTGTCTCAGTGGGTTAAGCCTCTGCCTTCGGCTCAGGTCATGATCTCAGGGTCCTGGGATAGAGCCCCGCATCTGGCTCTCTGCTCAGTGGGGAGCCTGCTTCCCCCGCTCTCTCTGCCTGCCTCTCTGGCTACTTGTGATCTCTCTCTCTCTCTCTGTCAAATAAATAAATAAATAAATACATCTTAAAAAAAAAAAAACAAAAACAAATTAAAAAAAAAAAGGATTATACCTCATTTGTAAATAAAGATCATTTGAAGAATGCAAACATTACGAACTATCAGTATATTAAAAATAACCCTAGGTTCACTGAAGAGTCTGAAAAGGGCTTTGACAAAATTCAATCATCATTCTTTGTAAAACACGTCCCCAGAGGGGCAAATGCATACGTGAAGTATTTCCACAAAATGGGGAACAAGGATGACTGTCTTTCACATAATTTTACATTCGACAGAAAGAACTGGAATTTATAAGGAGAAAGAAGTTTTAGGTATAAAAAGGAAAAGAGACAATATTTTCACTATTTAACAGGACTTGTTTTCCAACCTAAGAGAACCACATGAAATACTTCTATAAACAATTAAGAGAATTCAGTGTGGTAACAGGCTAGCAAGTAAGTATGCAGAAATCAATTCCTTTTTTTTTTTTAAACCAATTATTTTCAAACACACAGGCAAACTTTCAGAAAATGTAACAGAAATAATCCTCGCTTACATAGGAAAAACAAAAAAAGGTAAATGTATGTAGGAATACATAACTAGATCTGTGAAAGGCCTGCTTTAGGAACATTCATTTGAGGATAAACATTGATATTCTTTGGAAGGACACAAAGGAAATCTTTTTTAAAAATATGGGAAAATAGAGGTGACTGGGTGGCTCAGTTGGTGGAGTGTGGGACTCTTGGTCTCGGGGTTGTAAGTTCAAGCTCCATGCTGGGTGTAGAGATTACTTAAAAAAAAAAAAAAATTTTTTTTTTTTTTTTAAAGATTTTATTTATTTATTTGACAGAGAGAGATCACAAGTAGACAGAGAGGCAGAGAGAGAGAGAGGGAAGCAGGCTCCCTGCTGAGCAGAGAGCCCGATGCGGGACTCGATCCCAGGAACCTGAGATCATGACCTGAGCCGAAGGCAGCGGCTTAACCCACTGAGCCACCCAGGCGCCCCAAAAATTTTTTTTTTAAAGGGAAAATAGACCATTGGGATGGGAAGACTGTTTGTTTGTTTGTCTTTTAATAAGATTTTATTTATTGATTTGACAGAAAGACACAAACAGAGAGGGAACACAAGCAGAGGGAGTGGGAGAGGGAGAAGCAGGCTTCCTGCTGAGCAGGGAGCCTGATGGGGGTTCCATCCCAGGACCCTGGGATCATGACCTGAGCTGAAGGCAGCTGCTTAAGGACTGAGCCACCCAGGTGCCCCAAGTCTCAGTATCTTAACGATAGCAGTTACTCCTAAATTAACTGCTGTGTCATTCTAATAAAAAAGCTTTGCTTGAGGAGCACCTGGGTGGCTCAGTCAGTTAAGTGTCGGGACTCTTGGTTTCAGCTCTGGTCGTGATCTCCCGGTTGTGGCATCCAGCCTCCAGCCAGGCTCCGTGCTGGGTGTGGAGACTGCTTGTTCTCTGTCTTCCTCTCTGCCTGGCTCCCACACTCTCTCTCTCAAAAAAAAAAAAAGTTTTGTTTTTTAAATATTTTATTTATTTATTTAACAGAGCGAGAGCGAGCGAGTACAAGCAGGTGATACAGCAGGCAGAGGGAGAAGCAGGCTCTCTTCTGAGCAGGGAGCCAGATGTGGAACTCAATCCCAGGACCCCAGGATCATGACCTGAGCCGAAGGCAAACGCCTAACAACTGAGCCACCCAGGTACCTCTCAAAAAGAAAAAAAAAAAAAAAACTTTGCCTAAAACAACGTAAGCTGACTTTGAGGCTGACTAGTAAGAGAAACAAAACAGCCAGAGACACTCTGAAAAAGAAGTGTAACAAGGGTTAGCATTGCCAGATTTAAAATGATGTAGTCAGAAAATGAAAAGCACAGTGTAGTATACCTAGAGGCATCTTTAAACAAAGTTAGTGGGGAAAAGCTGGACTGGTTATTAACTGGTGTTAGAACAACCAGTAGCCACCTAAGAAATTTTGTGTCCTTACCTCCTACAGGATTAAATTCCAAGTGGCTCAAAGACTCAAATATACACCAACTACACACATCTCCTCCAAGAAAACCTTGAGATTCAAAATCTTCCCCCTTTTAAAAGAAAACAGCAAACAAAAGCAAAAAACAAAACAAAACAAAAACCCAACAACTCCATACCAAAAGGCTTTCAGGATAACCAAATGCAAATGACCAACTGGGAAAACACATCTGTAACTCACATTACAAGCTATTATATCTTATCACTGTTACACAAATAGCCCTGGAATCAACATGGAAAGGACAAAATTCTTCAGGAGAGAAATGGATAGAAGCTATGAACAGTTCATGGAAAAGGGAATATACAGAACTCTCAGAAGAGATTTTTCAATCCTAAGAGAGAAGCAAATTAAAACTCATGCTGTCGGGGTGCATGGGTGGCTCAGTGGGTTAAGCCTCTGATTCCTGGTTTCGGCTCAGGTCATGATCTCAGGGTCCTGGGATTGAGCCCCTGGGAGTCTGCTTGAGATTCTCTCTCCCTCTCCCTCTATCCTCCCTCCCCCTGCTAGCGTGCACGCGCTTGCTCTCTCTCTCTCTCAAAACAACATACTACCTTTCAAGTATATAGATTGGCAAAATCCAGACCATTGGTGGCTTACTATGTCGGTAAGACTAGAAGGAAAAGTCCTTCAGTTGCTGGCAGAAGTGGAATGTGGTACAACACGTACGGAAGGCAACTTTGCAGGATCTGTAACATTTCAAATGAGTACCTTTGGCCCAGAATTCTCAATTCTGTAAATTCACACTATGGGTATTATATATAACAAAGAATCTAAGAAGCTGCTGATTATAAGCTGCTCCATCATTTTATAAAAGTTAAGGGAGGGGCGCCTGAGTGGCTCAGTGGGTTAAGCCTCTGCCTTCCCCTCGGGTGGGGTGATCTCAGGGTGCTGGGATCGAACTCCACATCAGGCTCTCTGCTCAGCAGGGAACCTGTTTCCCAACCCCCTCCCCTGCCTGCCTCTCTGCCTACTTGTGATCTCTGTCAAATAAAATCTAAAAAAAAAAAATTATAAGAAAAATTAAAAGAAATAATGCTGTATTATATCGTCAGGGGGCGCCTGGGTGGCTCACTTGATTAAATGTGTGACTTCAGCTCAAGTCGTGATCTCAGTGTCCTGGGATCAATCAAGTCCCCAGTTGGGCTCCCTGCTCAGCGCAGTCTGCTTCTCCCTCTGCCCCTCCAGTCCCTGCTTGTGCTCTCTCAAATGAATAAATAAAATCGTTTCTTAAAAAAGATTTATTTATCTGACAGAGAGACAGATCACAAGTAGGCAGAGAGGCAGGCAGAGAGAGAGGAGGAAGCAGGCTCCCCTTGGAGCAGAGAGCCCGATGTGGTGCTTGATCCCAGGACCCTAGGATCATTACCTGAGCCGAAGGCAGAGGCTTTAACCTACCGAGCCACCCAGGGGCCCCAATAAATAAAATCTTTAAAAAGAAATGTAAAGCAAAAGATGGGGAACCACCCAAAGGCCCATCAGTAGGTTCCTGGATAAGTAAGTTACAGCATAACCAACCACAGAATGAAACAAAATGCAGCTCTAAAAAAGAATGAGGAAACCTAGTGGTTTGGAAGGATCGTCAAGATACATTCTTACTAGAAAAGCAGCTTATAAATCAGTAAATACACCAACTTTTGTGAAGAAATGAAAAACAAAACAAAACAAAAAAACAGAACACCCCCCCCCCCCAAACACCCAAATTCGCATTTGCTTGTGTGTACATAAGGACACTGCAAGGACAGAAGAGGTACCTACAGATGTGGGTTGTGGTACTGGATGGAGGGGACAGGGAGGTAAGGCTTTTCAGCATATATTTTACTTTTGGGGATGTGTGAATACATTTGCCAAAAAACAAAACAAAACAAAACAAAAAACCCACCTTAAGTAAAAATTAAAAATGAAAGAAAAAAAATCGAGAAACTTCAGAAACTCTTGAACACATAATTTATCACGTAATATATATAACAGTTACATTGTTTGCCACTTGAAATGCCTCAGAAAACACAAAATCGCCTTAGACTAAAACCTGACGCGAGGAGAGCGCAAATTCTGACAATTTCAAGTTCTCTTCCGGGGGCTTCCAGTCTGTCTACAGGATAACTCAGCTGTGACTCCTTCTTGCTACCATGAGTATCTGACCATTTCTCTCCTCATCACCGGCTCTATTATGGCCAATATTTCACACCGGGTCTCAATTGCATGAAACCTCTCCTTCACGTTGGGGAAACAGTTTTTCAAAGATATTTCCACCACGCAGGGTCAAGAATCTATCAGTCGCAAACCCAACGTCACAGAAGTCACGAGGCTTTGAATCTTTTCTGTCTCCCTTCCTGATAAACCTCCCTTTCCCACCCGACGAGGCATGGGGCTTATCTCCCATACAAGGACTTCTTACGACGCAACGACACGGCCGGCGCAAGTCTCGCTCCCCTGCACGCAGGTCCGTCGCCAGACTATTCCCTACTGATAAACTTATCACAACCGAGTTCTTCTATCAGAGGATTGATAACCTCAGATGCGGTGAGAGCTATAGTAAACGTCAAAATGTCAAAATCCATCCTCTGGGGATTCCGCTGATACTCGGCATCGAACGCGGCTTCCCGGGCTCTGCAGGCTTCCACAAACCTCCTGCGGCGTTCTTCCAGCTCCTGGATCCTGCCCGGGGCGATCGGGTAGTGTTCCAGATAGTGGCGGAGGAACTGCTGGTAATTAATTCCTAAAACACTAAGGGGGTGACGCAGGCGGAGGTACGGCAGCGCACCCAGGGCCGGACCGTTCGCAGGCCGGGACCGGAGTCTGGCCTGCGCGCCCTCTTCTTCTGCCGGCCCCGCCAGCTCGCGGTCGACCGCCGCCTCGCGGGCTTCCCTGGCCGCCGCCGCCGCCGCCACCGGACCTTCTCCGGGTTCGGCAGGCCGCGCCGGGGCCGGCTCCCGCCTCCCGCCGCCTACCTCCGCCTGCCGGACGTCGCGGTGGCCATTCGCCGCGTCCGTCTGCCGGATATTGTTGTCGGCGGGCAGTTCGGACATCTCGGACCGCGGGGGCAGCTCAACCGCTCCCAGAAAAATTGCGGTAAAGGGACAGCGCGACTACGGGCGTGCAGCTGAGAGCGCATGCGCCAGCGCCGTGCGCGCCAGGAAACGCAGCGCGCGAGCCCGTGTGCGCGAGCGCAGGGCCTACGGCTCAACCCAGGCACACTGCGCACGCGTCATGGCCGGGCACCCGCGCTCCGCCAGGCGCCACCTAGCGGTCGTATGTGCCATCACAGCTGAAACTGCCGGGTTGGTAACCGAACGCCCGAGGTCGTGTATTCCATTTGGACCAGTTTAACGTTTACAAAGAAAGTCCTACAAGACTGCTTCTTGTTGGCTTTCCCAAGATCCCATCCAAGATGCTTCACTCAAAGCTTCTTCTCCCATGATTATAATGCCCCACCAACAGTGCGTCCGGCGGGCCCCTGGATCTGTCCAGTGTTTCAACAGAATTTGTGAACAGACCCAGGGCCACCCTTTATTCCAGACTCCGGTCGCCCTCCAGCCGCTGGTGCAGCCTCAACCCTCTGTACAGCCTCAACCATCGGAACCATCTCCTCAGCTACCCTCTGCCTCTGGGGCCAACCAACACCGGTTTTTGAGCTTAGCTCCCTGTTGCCAACCAACCATGAGCTGTCAGGTTCGCCAGAATTACTCCACCGAGGTGGAGGCCTCCGTCAACTGCCTAGTCAACATGCACCTGCGGGCATCCAACACCTACCTCTCCCTGGGCTTCTACTTCGACTGCAGCGATGTGGCTCTGGAGGGCTTGGGCCGCTTCTTCCAAGAGTTGGCCCAGAAGAAGCTCGAAGGCGCCCAGAAGCTCCTGATGTTGCAAGAACAGCGCAGCGGCAGCTCCCTCTTCCAGGATGTGCAGAAGCCGTCCCACGACAAGTGGGGGAAAGCCCTGGACGCCATGGAAACTGCTGTGGTCCTGGAGAAGAACCTGAACGAGGCCCTTTTGGATCTGCACGCCCTGGCTTCCTCCCGTGCGGACGCCCATCTCTGTAACTTCCTGGAGAGCCACTTCCTGGGCGAGGAGGTGAAAATCATCAAGAAGATGGGTGACCACCTGACGAACCTCCGCAGGGTGTCCTGCACCCAGGGCGGGCTGGGCGAGTATCTCTTCGAAAGGCTCACCCTCAAGCGTGACTGTCAGCCTCTGGAGCCCAGCGACCTTTGAGGGGCCCCTCTGACATCCCCTTAGTCCCGGAGCTTCTGTCTGGGTTTGTCCGAGCAGCCAGCTGCCAAGCAGCTTTTTAACCACCCGGGAGAGGTCCTCCCCCAAGCTGTGGGCCAAGTGGAAACAATAAAGCCAAGCAGCTTTTTAACCACCCGGGAGAGGTCCTCCCCCAAGCTGTGGGCCAAGTGGAAACAATAAAGCTTTTTGCAGGGGAGAAAGAAAGAAAAAAAAAAAAAAAAGCCGCCTGTATTGTATTCCAAAATAGTCTAGATTCGTGGGGTTTTTGGGGGGTGGCGGGAGGGAGAGGGTGTTCTTTATTACTTTCCATTTATTCATTTGTTTATCTTCCTCACAACAATCCTCTGAACTACTAAAGCTTTCTAATCATACTCCCTTCCTGTCTTTAACATTTCTTTGGCCACTCTTGGCCATTTTTTTTTTTTTCCTAAATCTTATCTGTGCAGTATAACATAGAAAAGTATAGGAAATATAGAGTGGGTTGATTGATCAGAAAGCCAACATCCATGTAACCACCACTGGAAATCGATTTCTTTTTTCTTTTAAGATTTTATTTATTTGTTTGACAGAGATCACAAGTAGGCAGAGAGGCAGGCAGAGAGAGGGGGAAGCAGGATCCCCACAGAGCAGAGAGCCGGATGTGGGGCTTGATCCCAGGACCCTGAGACCATGACCCTAGCTGAAGGCAGAGGCCTAACTCATTGAGCCACCCAGGCACCCCTTTATAGCAGTTTTTTTCTTAAAGATTTTATTGATTTGTCAGAGACGGCACAAGCAGATGGGGAGGGGCAGAGGGAGAGTGAGAAGCAGGATCCCCGCTGAGCAAGGAGCCCCATGTGGGGCTCAATCTCACAACCCTGAGATCATGACCTGAGCCGAAATCAAGAGTTGGACGCTAAACCAACTGAGCCACCCAGGCACCTCACTCTGTCCTAAATTTAAAAGGCTATTTGAAACAAAACTACCATTAAAACTTAATGTTGGTGGTGGCGCCTGGGTGGCTCAGTGGGTTAAAGCCTCTGCTTTCGGCTCAGGTCATGATCCCAGGGTCCTGGGATCGAGCCCCACATCAGGCTCTCTGCTCAGCAGGGAGCCTGCTTCCTCCTCTCTCTGACTGTTTCTCTGCCTACTTGTAATCTCTGTCTGTCAAATAAATAAATAAAATCTTAAAAAAAAAAAAAAACAAAACTTAATGTTGGTAACAGTTGTAATAGATATAGAGCTGGCCTAAAGCTTCATAGTTCATCCAAGAAGTCACCAAGAGGTCTGTCTCTATGAAAAGGTGACCCTGGGATTGCTAGGAACAGTGGTTCTCAAAGTGTGGTCCCCAGACCAACAGCATCAGTACACTTGGGAACTTCTTAAGATGTCTGTTTATGGATCCCAGCCCATACCTACTGAATTAAAGTCTGGAGGTGGGACCCAGCTGTGTTTTACAAGCCCTCCAGGTGGTTCTCATGCACGCTAAAGTTTAAGAACCACTGGCTATAAAGGATCTTTCATCTGGACACCCGGGTGGCTCAGTGGGTTAAGTATCTGCCTTCGGCTCACTCAGGTTGTGATCCTGGAGTCCTGGATCGAGCCCCACATCGGGCTCCCTGCTTCTCCTTCACCCTCTTCCACTCCCCCAGCTTGTGCTCACACACTCTCTTTGTCAAATAAATAAACAAAAAATTTTTTAAAAGATTTTATTTATTTGGCAGAGAGAGATCCCAAGTAGGCAGAGAGGCAGGCAGAGAGAGAAGAGGAAGCAGGCTCCCTGCTGAGCAGAGAGCCTGATGTGGGGCTCGATCCCAGAATCCTGGGATCATGACCTGAGCTGAAGGCAGAGGCTTTAACCCACTGAGCCACCCACATGCCCCAAATAAACAAAATCTTAAAAAAAAAAAAAGAAAGATCCTAGGGCGCCTGGGTGGCTCAGTGGGTTAAGCCTTTGCCTTCGGCTCAGGTCATGGTCTCAGGGTCCTGGAATCGAGCCCCACATCGTGCTCTCTGCTCAGCGGGGAGCCTGCTTCTCCCTCTCTCTCTGCCTGCCTCTCTGCCTACTTGGGATCTCTCTCTGCCAAATAAATAAAATCTTAAAAACAAAAAAGAAGTTTCATCATCTGGTTTTAAAAAATAGAAACCTACAAACTCTCAAGAGATGAGGAAGACAACCCACAGACTGGGAGAAAATGGTTGCAGCACACATATCTGGGTTTTTTGGTTTGTTTTTAAAGAGTTTATTTATTTATTTGACAGAGAGAGACACAGCGACAGGGAGAACACAAGCAGGGGGAGTAGGAGAGGGAGAAGCAGGCTTCCTGCTGAGCAGGGAGCCCTATTTGGGGCTCAATCCCGGGACCCTGGGATCATGACCTGAGCCAAAGGCAGATGCTTAACAACTGAGCCACCCAGGTGCCCCATGTTTTTTCTCTTTTTTTAAGATTTTATTTATCTACCTGAAGGAGAGCAAGAGAGAGCACAGAGGGAAAGGGAGAAGTAGACTCCCCGATGAGCAGAAAGCTCAAACCAGGGCTCCATCCCCAGACCCTGGGCTCATGACCTGAGCCAAAGGCAGACACTTAACCAACTGAGCCACCCAGGCGCCTGAGCACAGATGTCTGTTAAAGGACTGTTGTCCAAAAGAAATAAAGAGCTCTTTTTAAAAATAAGATGAATGATACAATTTAAAAATGGGCAAAATTTTTAAATCTCTCTCTCAAATAAATAAAATCTTAAAAAAAATTAAAATGGGTGAAAGACCTCACCAAAACATATAGATGGCAAATCAGCATATAAGGTGCTTCACATCATATGTCATTAGGGAATTGCAAATTAAAACAATGTGGGGCGCCTGGGTAGCTCAGTCGTTAAGCCTCTGCCATCGGCTCAGGTCATGATCCCAGGGTCCAGGAATCGAGACCCGCATAGGGCTCCCTGCTCTTCAGGAAGCCTGCTTCTCCCTCTCCCACTCCCCCTGTTTGTATTCCCTCTTTCGCTGTGTCTCTGTCAAATAAATAAATAAAATCTTAATTTTAAAAAAGGAAAATACTGTATGTACTACAAAAAAACAGTGGACTCATACAGTTCAAACCCGTGTTGCTCAAGGGTCAGCTGTAATCAAAAGTTCTATTTATGCTCCACCTCCTGCAGGAGCAAGGTCAACGACAGCCATGCTTTTCTCCACAAGGAGTCCAATACTGTTTTCATGCCTCGTAATGAGCAGCTACCACGGACTGGGTCCACTGCGGGTCCTGGCACTGAGGACCCCTGGGAAGAGAAGCATTATCAGGCCCAGACATACAGCGCACAAAGGTTAGAACAAAGCCCAGGAAGGCTGGTGGCATCAAACGGAGGTCCTGAGCTGGTTTGGGGCATCAGAGAAGGGCTTTGTGGGAAGGTGGTGAACAGGGCCAGGGAAGCAGATGCTCCAAGCACAAGGACCAGAAAGAGGACATCAGAGTCTTCGAGCTCCAGCTGAATCCTGCTCATCCGGTGAATGCCCAGCGCCCCACTCAAGCTGCAGCTCTGCTGTCTCTCATTTCTCAACTGCCTCATGGGAAAAGGCCAGGCTGGGGGACTTCTTACCTCCCAAGGTCCCTTGGATGGAATTCTACTTCACTTGGAATGAAGTCCAAACGCTTTCATTGTGATCTGGCCTTGGTCTGTCTCTCCATCTTCAACTTCTCCCACTATCTCTCCCTTTCATAAAATACCTTGGCGACAGTGCCCTTCTGTCTGCCCCTCGAATGTCAAAAGGTTTTTCGTGTCTCTGAGCCTTCAAGTTTTATTTTTTAAGATATTTATTTATTTATTTATTAAAGATTTTATTTGTTTATTTGACAGAAATTACAAGTAGGCAGAGAGGCAGGCAGAGAGAGGGGGAAGCAGGCTCCCCACCAAGCAGAGAGCTCAATGTGGGGCTCGATCCCAGGACCCTGAGACCATGACCCCAGCCGAAGGCAGAGGCTTAACCCACTGAGCCACCCAGGCACCCCTATTTTTATTTATTTGACAGACAGATCACAAGTAGGCAGAGAGGCAGGTAGAGAGAGGAGGAAGCAGGCTCCCCACCGAGCAGAGAGCCTGACGCGGAGATTGATCCCAGGACCCTGAGATCATGACCCCAGCCGAAGGCAGATGTTAGGCTCAGAAGGCCTGAGCTACCCAGGCGCCCCTGAGCCTTTGAGTTTGCTGTTCCATTTGCTGAGAACACCTTTCTTTATCCTTCCGTAAAAAAAAAACACTTCCTCGGAGCTGTCTTGCTTGGGGCACCGATCTCACGTGCTTCCTCGAACCAGTGCTGTTGACGGCATCTGTACGTATCATAATCAGTACATATCATAATCAGAAACGATTTATTGGCTTGTTTGCTTATTTATTTTCTGCTTCCCTCCCTAGGGTGCTGGCACTTTCCAAGGCAGAGATAAGTTCTATTTTCCTAAATCTTGATTTCTCTTTCACCAGAACAAGATGTTGGCAGAGCGGTCACTCAGATTACTGTTAAGTGAGCAAGTGAAGAAGGGACAGGATTAAAAACAAAAAACAAAAAACAAAAAAATGAATGCCTGCAAAATCCTCTGCTATTTTGACTTTCGTCCTTTTTGATTCCATCACCCTCTTCAACCTCATTTGACTCCAGGGTTCAATTCTAAAAGGTTTTTTTATTTTTGTTTTTTAACATTTTATTTATTTATTTTTTTTTTTGTCAGAGAGAGAGAGAGAGAGAGAGAGCGCACAAGCAGAGGGAGAAACAGTCTCCCCGCTGAGCAAGGAGCTGGATGCAGATCTCCATCCGAAGACCCTGGGATCACGACCTGAGCTGAAGGCAGACACTTAACCCGCTGAGCCACCCAGTGTCCCAGTTTTGTTTTTATGTATTTATTTATTTTTAAAGATTTTATTTATTTATTTACTTGACACAGAGAGAGATCACAAGTAGGCAGAGAGAGAGAGAGGGAAGCAGGCTCCCCGCCGAGCAGAGAGCCTGATGCGGGGCTCGATCCCAGGACCCTGAGACCATGACCTGAGCCGAAGGCAGAGGCTTTAACCCACTGAGCCACCCAGGAGCCCCA